CCCCCCACCAGGATTCCGGACAGACTCAGGAGAGGCACAGCCAGGCCTAGGGTCAGAAAGGACACAGTTAGGGAACTTCTGATGGGGCTGGACATGTTTAAATCAGCAGGTCCAGATGATCTCCACCCCTGGGTGCTGAGCGAATTGGCAGAAGTCATTGCGGGACCCCTAGCATGGTTTTACAAGCACTCGTGGTGCTCTGGCCAGGTGGCAGAGGACTAGAAAAGGGCTGATGTGGTCCCCACTTTCAAAAAAGGTAGGAAGGAGTACCCAGGAAACTATAGACCCGTTAGTCTTACCTCAGTCCTAGGGAAGCTCTCTGAGAAATTTATCCAAGAGCACATCTGTGAAGGACCAGCAAGGGACATTATGCCTAGAGGCAACCAACATGGGTTCATTAGGGGCAGGTCCTGTCAGACCAGACTGGTTGCCTTTTACAACCAGGTCACAAAATCCATGGATGCAGGTGTCACGGTGGATGTAGTCTTTATGGGCTTTAGGAAGGCCTTCAACACTCTCTCTCACCCCATTCTCATTAAAAAATTAGGTGACTGGCATTGATTCCTACACAGTCAGATGGGTTGCAAATTGGCTGGAGGGCCGCACCCAGAGAGTGGTGGTGGACGGGTCATTTTCGACCTGGAGGGATGTGGGCAGTGGGGTCACCCAGGGCTAGGTCCTCGGGCCTGCACTGTTCAACATCTTCATCAGGGACTTGGACGAGGAGGTGAAAAGCACCTTGTTCAAATTTGCAGATGACACTAAGATGTGGGGAGAGGTGGGCATGCTAGAAGGGAGGGACAACCTATAACTAGATCTGGACAGGTTATGTGGTGGGAGGAATTGAATAGTATGGGATTCAATATTGACAAGTGCAGGGTAATGCACCTAGGGAGAAAGAACCAGCAGCATACCTATAGGCTTGGGAACTCCCTTCTCATCAGCACAGAGGCAGAAAGGATCTTGGAGTCATCATTGATTCCAAGAGGAACATGAACCGCCAGTGTGAGAACATGGTCAATAAGGCCAATCGCATCTTGTCATGCATCCACAGATGCATCATGAGCAGGTCCAAGGAGGTGATCCTCCTCCTCCTCTATGCGACATTGGTCAGGCTGCTGTTGGAGTACTGCATCCAGTTCTGGGCACCACACTTCAGGAGGGATGTGGACAGCATTAAGAGGGTCCAGAGGAGGGCCACTTGCATGGCCAGGGGCAGCAGAGCAGGCCCTTTGAAGAGAGGCTATGGGACCTGAACCTGTTCAGCCTCCACAATAGAAGGATAAGCGGGGATCTGGTGCCTGTCTAAAAACTTACCAGGGGGAATGGGAGAGTCCATGTTCCCCCAAGCACTACCAGGAGTAACTAGGGATAATGGTCATAAGTTGATTGAGAGTAGATTGAGGCTAGACATCAGGAAGCACTACTTCACAGTCAGGGTGGCTAGGATCTGGAACCAACTTCCAAGGGAAGTGGTGCTCACTCCTACCCTGGGGGTCTTCAAAAGAAGGCTAGATAATCACCTAGCCAGGCTTATTTGAACCCAGCATTCCTTCCTGCCCATGGCAGGGGGCCAGACTTGATGATCTGCTCAGGTCCCTTCTGACCCTATCAACTATGAAACTACATTCTGTCCATGAAATTGGGAGACATGAATTAGGTAGTTCCCCACCTATGAGATGCAAAAAAGAACCCTGCCCACCCATTTATTTTCCATACATTTCTACCTGCAAGACCTTGTATGAAGCCACACATTTTACTGTCAGCAACAATATGAAAGTGAAGTATGAAGGTGCCTATGTAAGGAACTGAGCTTATACATCTTTAATTTAGTTACTGTACAAGGTGCATCTCTAGCCTTCTGCCTACCAATATGTAAGACCTGGGTATATTTTGAAAAACTTTAATGCATTGAAGATTTTAATATCTTTAATACTTAAGCTGTAGTATTCTGTACACTATATCAAACTCAAATATCAGGCAGAATGAACATGGTGTTTTATGGCAAGTCAGTAAGATGACTATTTTTCTGGTGTACACCTCTAATTTTAAGTACATAATTTTAACCATTAATCCAAATAATATTTTCACCAAGAACTTTAGTATATGTTGACATTCAAAATATAACTTTTCAAATTTCTAAAGCTTTTTTTTCTGTTCATATATTTTGTGGCCACAGAAAGGGTCTTTGTGCTGATAATGCCTTAGTTGATGTACCAAATTATAGTTCCATAAAATTATATTTTTTATTAAGCTACTGTATGCACTTCAAATCCAATTATCTTACAATATTTCCAGGCACTGGGATAATATCTAATGAAAAGAAAAGGTACAATATGCTGTGTATTGGGATATGCTCTCCACTTTTGTATATATTCATATAGGTATAGCAGGTAGCTTCGCATTTAGAAGTGCTGATTCAGTGCATTATCTATTATAGTATTTGCTACAACCGACATTTGTCAACATTTAGCACACACCGCATGTGTCTACATGTGCATTTATGCCAGCTTAAATTTACTGTGCAGCACAGCAGGAATAGGCTGGTGTCTACACATTGTTACCTCTCAGCTCCCTATTCTTGGGGAACACTGACACAGGATGCAGACTGTCTGACTCACAAAGAATGCCCCCCCTCTCCTCTACCTAAACAGAAACTGATTAAGATGCAGTGAGAGACGCACCTAAAACCCTCCAGATAAGGGTGACAAAAGTGAAACAACTGCCCTAGGTCTTATTTGCATC